CAAAAAAACTATTTATCGGTTGATTGCTGTTTTCAAAGATTTAAGATCTTCTCCCTTAATCTCAAGGAGTTTTTTGTTAGCTGAGACAATACCTTCTCTATTACTATACATTAGAAGAGGAGCACTGATGCAGCTGAGACAGTGGGTTGTCATGGAAAGGAAATAGGCTTTACGTTCAAAGAGATATACATTTATATATGGACTCAGGAAAACTCTTAATTTTGAGCCTTTGCTTCTTTATATGTAAAGTATGTTGTTGTTGTGTGCTGTTGAGTCACCTGCGACCTATAGTGACCCTACATACAGCAGCTCTGAAGCCTGCCCTACCCTGAGCCAGACTGACTGATTCTGACACACCAACCCCAATTGCCTCAGTTTCTATATCAGTCCAACTCCTCCAGGGTCTTCCTCTTCTGCACCGTCACTCCACCATTTGAGCATGATGTCTTTCTCCAAGGATTGGTCCCTTCTGGTCATATGTCCAAAGTATGTGAGATAAAGCTTCGAAATCCTAGCACTGAGAGAGATTCAAATCAAAAGAACTATGAGATATTATCTCACCCCAGTAAAAATAGTAAAAATTAACTGAACAGCAAATGACAAATGCTGGTGAGGTTGTGGAGAAACTGAAATCCTTATTCACTGTTGGTGGAAGTGTAAAATGGTGCAACCACTATGGAAGGTAGTATGGTGCTTTCTCAAAAAGTTGCAAATAGAAATACCATTTGACCCAGCAATACCACTACTGGGAATATACCCCAAAGAGACCATAACTGTCACCCAAGCAGATATATGTAAAGCCATGTTTATCGCAGCTTTGTTCACAATAGCAAGGAGTTGGAAACAACCTAAGTGCCTATCAAAAAACGAATGGATAGAGAAGCTGTGGTATATTCACACAGTAGAATACTATGCTGCATTGAAAAACCAGGAATTCACGCAATATTATTCAAAATGAGTGACCCTGGAGGATATTAGGCTGAGTGAAGTATCTAAGTCACAAGAGGGAACTCGGGTGACTTAGTCTGTAAGGTCTGCCAATTCACTCAAAGACAAGTAGTTCGAATTCACCAACTGCTCCACAGGAGAAAGATAGTCCCCTCCCGTGCAATTTATACCCTCTGAAACCTGCTGGAGGGTCAACTATGAATGAGTTCTGACTTGACAGCAGTGAACAACATTGTCAAAATAACTGGATGAACAGAAATAAAGTTGTGAGCTCAAGATCAACTTCTTTACTGTAGGATTTCTCGGGTGTTTAGGCCCCTAATAATATGCATTATTGACTTTGAAGATATGCATAAGAGTTTCACAGTTGCCAGACTTTTTTAGCCATGGAACTTCACTGAAGCAGGTTGTTTGTGAACCCATTTAATACTTCGCAGGGCAATCTCTTCTTGCAGAACCGTTTTGGGGCATGTTGAGCAACACTGATCTCATAGACTGGATACAGTAGGAAGGATTTATTGTTTGTTTTGTTCTTAATAAACAATAGATTATTTGGGAATGTGGACATCTTTCTCATATCATTTTATCATGCACTCAGTAATAAATTGTCATTGTGGTCTATACTATGTAATGATTTGACTCAACATTCCTCCCAAGGCAAGCTACCAGAGGCAATACAGGAATGAGACTCTATCCCAGAATGCAGTCCAGTTGTTGGTGGGTGCAGCAGGAAGCTTTGGTGAGAAGAAAAGAGAGTAAGTAGCTGTCAAAAGACAGCTTTCATTCTGTGTTAATGCTTTTAGAAGATAATGCAAGTGTGTTTTCTTGCTTTGACTGCGCCACGTGAGATCGTTCAATATAAGGTGTCTTTTATCACTGCCTACTCTATACCCTACACTCATTCAACTCATCTACTTTACATATCTCAGACTTGCTCTGTTATTGTTGTTATTGTCCAATATCTCCGCGGGTTTTCAGAGGCAGTTAATCTCCAGGGAGGAGATTGCCCTTCTCAGGAGAGCCGTTGATAGATTTGAACTGCATGCCTTCAGGATGTAGCATAGCTTCTTGCCACTAGGCCACCGGAAATTCTGAGTTCAAGCAAGTCTCTCCTTCTGACCAGAATGAACTTTTCTACTGCTTTTTACCTTCAAAGTGAAGCCATGGTAAACGACTTCTCAGCTATTCCAGGGCTCAATAAAGGCAAAAGACAAAGAAACCCATTGTGACTGAGTAAATTCTTCCTGGGGGCAACTCTGTATAGGGTTTCTGAAACAATAAATCTTAACAGTGAAAAGACAGCCTTCTCATGCTCATGGAGCAGTGAATAATTTCCATTAGCAGACTAATAATGCTGAATCAGTTGCTCCCCCAGGGTCCTTTCACCGGGGCCAAAGTCTTTTTTAACCTTGTAGCTATCAGTAGGGAGTGCTAGTGGCTTGTTGTTGTTGATTGCCTTCGAGTCAAGCACGACTCATAGTGACCCTATGAAAAAAAGGCTTGAAGCTCCTCTACAACTATCGCCATTTATCAAAGTTCATAGAGTTTCCAGAGGCATGTTCTTTAGGAAGTGGATGCCACTCCTGCTTCCAGTGGCTTAGCAATAAGGCATTGCACTGCCAACCCAAAGATCATCGTTGTGGGCCTTCAGGCTGCAAGTAACTTATAATTGACCCTCCATTGAGTTTTCAGAAGCAGTAAATCACATGGGAGTTGATTGCCTATCTTTTTCTTACACAGCAGCTGGTGGGTTCAGACTGCAAACCTTTGGATGGACAGCTCAGCTTCTTACCACTAGGCAACCAGATGTGTTTCCATTCAACAGCTGCTTGGTGGGAGAAGGATGGACAATCTCCTGTCTTGCAATTTACTGCTTCTGAAAATCTGTTGGAGGGTCAGCTATGGGGCAGTTAGACTTGAAGATACACCACCACACCAGGCATCATGGAGGACTTAAGAATTAGTAAATAATATTCCAACACGCTAAGTACTTTCTGCTAACTTACTATATTCAGTACTTGCTTCTCTCCTGAGTTATTTTGCCTGCATGATTTTGCAGGTTGTCCCTTTCAGCAGCCTCGTGCGTTGGGCCGTGCTGTGGCAGGAAAACAAGGTCAACAACGAAAAGGGTAAATGGGTTAGAAAGAGGCAAGAAGGACAATGAACATTCAATAGAAAGATACAGGGAATATCAAGACGGAATCCACTAAAAGCCTATGATAACAGACTAATTGCACTGAGAAATAGAACAATACATGCGATTTACCTCAAGGAAGCAGTTCCCTTGTGACTTTGACTAATTCAGACATGAGGGCAAAAGGATGAGGACCAGCCCTGCTTGTGTACTCACCTTTTACATGAAAGAATGGGTTGTCTGTGTGCATACACACATTGTGGATGGTCGCCTTCCGGACCGCTCCCACTCTGACTGCAACACAACAAACATTGTCGGATCATCCACTTCCTAAACAACATGCCTCCAGAAACTATCAACTTTGATAAATGACAGAGAAAGGCTTTAGGCCTTTTGTTTATAGGGTCTCTGAGTCATGTTCAACTAGAAGGTAATCAACAATAACAACAATGTCATGTTCATGAACTTTGCAATGCTGTTTTGAATTCAGTCAGACAATGTTCTTTTGATCCATTAAAATTTTCACTGCCTAATTTTCTGGATTAAGTCACTAAGCTTTTCCTCCCCATCTTAGTTTGAAAACTTCACTTAATCTTGTCTACGAGAAATCCCAATGGTACAACCTCTGGCATTATTGCAACATGCAGACGTGATAGTACAAAAAATTACAGTGGGTGGTTGTTGTGTACTATCAAGTTGGAAATGCCCCCAGCAGATTTTTAGAGTCAGTAAATCAAACAGAAGTAGCCTGTCCTTGCCTCTCCCGTGAAGCAGTTGGTGAGTTTGGACAGCAGCACTCTTTTGGCATTGCAGTGTAGTTTTTTAAACCCTAAAATGTCATATTAATATTCATCACTAGACAAAATAATATTCTAGGTTTCTGATATTATTACTGAGACACATTTTAAAGCATGTTTAGAATTTCTTTCTTTTTCCTTTTGTAGATATATGAGTCCTGAGACAATAAAGAGTTACTCTGAAAGCAAAAAAATTCTTACTTTTATAAGAAAAATACTTCTCAATTGGGTATATAATACTAGAAAGGAAAAGGGGACCCCATCAAGGTAAGTACTTGTGAATCTTACCAGAAATGCTATTATAGTCACATGAAACTTTCTGTTTGTTTATATGTCTAAACTTATATGCTGGCTAATTTGCAACCACCCACTTGCTTTTCAGTTGGCAGCCCAGTTCCTTAACCCTTGACCCCCTGAGCACCCTCATAATATAACTAAATATTTTATATTATATTGATTCTGTTCAATCTATGACATAACTTATCTAGTAAAGAAATTACAGGATCTGACTAAAAGCAAAATATACCTATGAAACAATTTTCTTTCTTTCTTTTTTATGGGGCCAAATCTTGAGTGTAATTATGTTGGGAGTTAACACAATTCTAGAAATGGAAGAGTGTACTGGCATGGATCTTCTGGTCCACAATGTCTCAAGAACACTTGGAAGTGGTTTTTACACTCTAGGGATGCTCTTTCAAGCTTGACTAGGCTAATAACCAGCAAATACAATGCATATTATAAAGTTGGTAATGTTTGCCTAGATTTTCCATGAAAAATCTTTCTTTATTTCCTAAAAGCACCTAGATAACAAATTTTTCCCAGTGAAACTCTCTGAGATGTTTGATGATAGTTATCTTCTGCAAGCCATGGTTGACAGTAGTTCATGCCTGTCGTAAAATTGGCTTATTACTACAGCCTCCAATATGGATTGAAGCTTAAAAGCAAGAAAAAGATTCTCACCACTGGGCAGATTGGCAGCATCACGATAGATGGTAAAGAGATTGAGATTATTGACAGTTTTAGTTTGCTTGGCTCCATAATCAACACTCATGGTACCAGCAGCTAGGAAATGAAAAGACAAACTGCATTGGGTAAGTCTGCTGTCAGAGACCTCTCCAAAGTACTGAAGAACTGTCAGTCTGGAGACTAAGGTGCACCTGATCCAAGCCATGATTTTTGCAATTACTTGCTATGCATGAGAACGCTAGATGAGGACTTGGGATGATAGAAGGAGAATCGATGCCTTTGAGCTGTGGTACTGGAGAAGAATATTGAACATACCATTGACTGTTAACAAACAGGTTCATCCTGGAGAGGGTGAGACCAGGCTGCTCCTTGGAGATAAGGCTTCTGAAGCTTCATCTGACATACTTTGAACATGTTGCAGGGTGGGACCAGTCCTTGGAGAAGGACGTCATGCTTGGGAGGATAAAGGGACAGTGTGGGGGAGGGGGGGGGTGTAGGTGTGTCAGAGACAATAAGATCGGCACAGGATAGAGCAGGGTTTAGGGATGTTATATATAGTAGAGTCGTTATGAGTTGCCAGCAACTCAACAACATATAACAACATTACAGGAACACACTGAGAGTTCTAGCAGCCAAATGTGAAAGATGGGAAGTCTTTTCCATGCCGTTTGTAGTTTCTGAAAACCCACTGGAGGGTCAGCTTTGAGTCAGTTCCAACTAGACAGCAATAAGAGAGAGAGAGACTTTTTTAAAGAGAGAAGTCAGATAGCAGCACTTAAATAACAATCTCAGTTAGTCAAAGTTCCTTTTATGAACTGCAAAATTGGATTGGTAATGTAGGTTCCTTGACTTGCAGAGACTTGTAGAATGGTTAACTTATAGAAATGGAGAATCAAGTGGCAATATAACCAGTCAACTGTTAACAGAGATGCTACTTGACTGAAGGGACAACAGGTGACAAAGGGCTGAAAACAATAATGCAAAAGCAAATCATAATCACCTCAATGGTTTTCTTTAACTGTTCATTTTTCAAAACTATTTTTGTTAGGTGCCATCGAGTTATCTATGACTCACAATGACCCTATGAGCAATAGATTTGAACCTTGGGGAAAAGACATCATGCTGGGAAAAGTGGAAGTTCAGAGAAAAGTGGGAAGATCCTCCTCAAGATAGATTTGACACAGTACCTGCAACAATGGGATTAAGCCTATCATGAGGACAGCACAGGATATAGGACAAAATTCAGAATTGTTGTTGTTGTGTATTGTAGAGTTAGAACAAACCCAGAGCTGACCCTCTGATGGGTTTTCAGAGGCGATTAATTGCATGGGAGAACCTTCTCCCGAGCAGCTGAATTGCCTGTTTCAGCCCTCAGCAAAAAAAAAGATCTAGTAAGAACACAAGCATATTTTATAGCCATTTCTTTGGTTTTTTCTTAAATAGACCTGCATTTATTTTACTAGAGTTACAGTGGACTCAGGGAGACAATAGATAGACTTTTTGAAGACTTTTGGATATGCTACTTAAGTTGATGCACCAAAGCTCTAAGGGCTGTCATGGCCCTAAACTCAGAGTGGAGTTTTTAGCAAGTTAGAAAGCATAAGGAGTGTCTGTCTCAATATATTTTATAAAGAATCTGATAGATCTACCTTGTGGTTGTTTCCCTAGTAATTGATTGTGCAACTGGGATAAATATTCTTAATGTCTGGTCAGACATGTCCACTGATTTTGAACTAAAGAGTAAGAATGATCCTGGTAGGGAGGACCAAGTTGCGCACCAATATTAAAGTTTTAAAGATCTATATCTCTTTTAATTAATTTACATGTTGTTGTTGTTTTTGTTACGTGCTGTTGAGTTATTTGCGACTCAAAGCGATCCTATGTACAACAGCTCCAAACCCTGCTCTATCCTGTGCCAATCTCATTGTCTCAGACACACCTACTCCTATTACCCCAGTCACTGAATCAATCCACCTCATTGAGGGTCCTCCCCTCCTGCGCTGTCCCTCCACCCTCCCAAACATGATGCCTCTCTCCAAAGACTGGTCCCTCCTTGAAACATGCCCTAAGTATACCTAGCATAATATAAATGTATTCAAGAAAGAGGTAGTTTTACTTGCAACGCTTTACTGTACATGTAATATTGCTACTACTAGATCAAGAAAAAGAATTTGAAAAGCGGTTTGAGGCATTACAGATATCTTAGAGAAAGTTGTGCTAACAAAATGCTAACTAGTTCTCTAACAAAGCTGAGCCGCACAGGCTCTGCCCAAGGCCGGGTAGGGCTTAGCCATGTGATCGAGACAGTTCATATCTCTGTGTTCGTGGTTTCTTCTCTTTTTTTATAAAACCCACTGCCATCAAGTCAATTCCTACCCATAGTAGTCCTATGTTGTTATTGTGTTCTGCTGAAGTACAACTGACTCATAGCTAACACCCCAGCGGGCCTTCAGAGGGAGGCAGCTCATAGCATGGGAAGAGATCGCCCATCTGGAAGTGCCCCATAGGATTTCCCAGGCTGTAACCTTAATGGAAGCAAACTGGTACGTCTTTTATCCACAGAGTAACTGGTGGGTTCAAACCGCTAATGTTTTGGCTAGCAGCTGAATGTTTTAACCATTGTGCCACCAGAGTTCCTACTTTTTTTTCTTCAACGGAATCCAAACCTATAAAATTCTCCAACCCTACATACACAGAAATACCCCTTAGAAAGGACAGATGATTAAATATTAATCTTAGATCGAGGAACTATGCATATTGTTAACTAGTCATCTCTGAAAATTGAATTATCAGATGTAGATCCTTTTCTTTTTAAAATATTTCATGTGTGAACTATCTTTCCTATCTACCTTAAAGATAGTCTCAAGCTATCTTTACTACCGTTTTAAAAAATAAAATTTTAAAAAGCGATTGATATGTAGAAGAGAGGAGAGGAAAAAATAGGGGAAACTAGCCTCAGAAAAGATTGAATTTGTCAACAATTTTTTCTTAAGTGGATCTACAATCCCTTCACATCAGCAGAAGATCAGGAGATATAATACTTTGGGAGAGTTTGCTGTCAGAGATCTTTCCAAAGACCTGAAGAGCAATGACATCAGTTTAAAGACTTTGATGCACATCTAATTCAAGGTATAGTCTTTCTAATACATGCTATGTATATGGGAGCTGGACAACGAATAAGGATAATGGAAGAAGAATTGATGGTGTTTGAGTTGTGGTGCTGGAGAAGAGTACTGCATATCCCAAGGACTGCCAAAAGAACAAACAGATGTCTTAGAGAAAGTGCAGCAAGGATGGTGAATATATCACATACTTTGGACATACTCTGTTAGGAAAGAAAATTTCGTTGGAGAAGGACATCATGTTTAGAAATGTGGAGGGTCAGCAAAAGAGTGGTAGTCTCTCAAAAGATAGATTTATACACTGTCTTCATCAATGGGCTCAAATGTGTAAGGGAAGATAAGGAAGCTCAGGATAGGACAGGATTCAGATCTGTTGTCCATAAGGTTGATACAAGTCTTACTCGACTCAAGGGCACTTAACAACAACAGCCTCACAATGTTTGGTAGAGAAAGGAATTAAATGATCAATGTCTAAAGCAGATTCCCAGAAAGTACTGGCTAGAGTTGGGTGTTCCCCAAAATTAAGTTAAAGTCTATAAATAACGACAATCAGAACAGAACTGAGTAGTAATGGAAATAATTTAAGGCAACTCTTTAACAAATCAAACTTTTATTCTTTTTACAGAAATTTCTTACTTCGTATAATCCACAGCATAGTATTCACTGATGAATTTGAATATGCTGGATACCTTGTGATTCTAATGAATCTATATCCTATTGTAATTTCTTGGATACCCACTTTTAATGAAATTTATGAGGCAGAATTAAGAAAAAGTAACTTCTCTTTTCTAGTGTTTTATATCCTGGAGGCCGTACTTAAGGTAATGTAAAATATGTGCTAATGTGTATGTGCATCATGTATATCATCCTAAAATGGTGCATTTCTAGCACTACGTACAAACAACATTTAAAAGATGCATGGTGCAGTTCTTCCCTTCAAAGCAATTATGTTTTAATATATAATATTAATTCCAAATAATCCCATTGAAAATGTGCATGCCTTAAGTATTGCTACTATATTTGCAAAAATATATTTTTAAAAAATTATGTGTGTTAGTGACATAGAGTAAGTTTCAAAGTTACTGCCAATTTTCCTAAATTAATGCACAGTGGTAAATATGTGGATATGTGTTTCATATTAGATAGATAAATGCTATGTATAGAAATGTATTTATGCTTGAGAGCTATTTTATAATTTGATTTTTAAAAATCTATTGAAAATTTAGTATTAAATGTGCCAAACCAATAATAATATTATTTTATGTGGATTAAACAAGTTGTAATATAAGACATTCAAGGCCCAGAAAGTATAAAGAGAAGAATTCTATCTGCAGTGGTGATTAGCTGTCACTGAGTTGCCTCCCAATACATGGCTACACCAAATGGCAGAGGAAAAAAGGCTCTGCAGGGCTTTTTTCATTGCAGTCTTTTTGGAAACTGATCATATGCAGGATGAGTACAAAATACCGATCTTTAAGATAACAGCTAATGGGATAACAACTAATTACACCTCTCACATTCATTACATCTCATATTAAAACAAATAAGTTGTAAATCTTTGTGGAAAAATGTAAACACTGCTACAGAATCATGGTGTGGGAAAGACTGAATCCAAACTCAATCACATTCTATTTAATAAGTTCAAAGTAAGCTGGAAGTTTCATTAGAGTTTTTATAAAATGAGGAAACTATAGATTTTTGAAGGTGAGGCTAAAGATTTTCATGAAATCACTGGAAATGACTGTGACTATTGCACTAGAGCACTGAGAAGCCAAAGCAAAGGAGTAAAATCAGGAAGTTAAGGATTTGATCTGAAGATTTCAAAGGGTAGCTAGGCAAGACAACGAAAATTATTATAATTAAATGTGCAAAGAGCTGGACTTGGAAAATGAAAAGGGACAAATTAAATCAGCATTTCATAAACTGAAAGAACTGAAGAGCAAATTCAAGCCTTGAGTTGCAATAATTAAAGATGCTATAGGCAGAATATTGACTGATCTAGGAAGCATCAAAAGAAGGTAGAAGTATATGGAGTAACTGTACTAAAAAGAATTGGCTGACAAAGAATTTCATGAAACCACATATCACCAAGAGGCAATGTGATAAAGGAAGAAGGTCAAGCTTCTCTAGCAGAATTGGCAAAAAAGCAAGGCCCCAGAAATTGATAGAATACCAGTTGACATATTTCTAAAAAAAGATGCTGCCCTAGACATGCTCATCAAGTTGTGCCAAAAGATCTGGAGGACAGCAACCTGGACAGCTGAATGAAGAGATCCCTATTTATTCCCATTACCAAACTGGGTGACTTGACAGAGTATGGAAATTATCAAACAGTATCACTAATATCACAAGTAAGCCAAATCCTGCTGAAGATAATCCAACATAACTGGAACATCACCATCAAACATCTCTACATCAGCAGAGAATTACCAGAATTGCAAGCTGGGTTTAAAAGAAGCTATAGCACTAGGAATATCATAGCCAATGTCAGATGGATCTTAGCTGAAAGCAGAGAGTACCAGAAGAATGTCTATCTGCATTCCACTGACTATTCAACGGTATTTGACTGTGTGGATCACAATAAATTGGCTAACCTTGAGAAGAATGGGAATCCCAGAACACTTGTTTATGCTCATGCAAAATCTATATTTGGATCAGGAAGCAGCCATCAGAACAGAGAAAAAAAAAAAAGAAAAAGAAAAAACAGTAAAACAGTACCTGTTTCAAAACCAGGAAAGGAGTGTGTCCGGGATGCATCCTGTCTCCATTTTCTTTTTTTTTTTTTTTCAATCTATATGTGGAAAAGCTAAACTTAGCAGAAGCTCAGTAGCAAGGAACTTCCCTCAGTACTGCCTCAAGCAAAATCTTGCCCTGAAGTTGGTACATGGGTTTTGAATTTATATCCTCCTAAACAAGACACAGACAAAAGTGTGAGAGATCAGTAGCAGGGTGTAGTGCAAGCCATCACAGAAGTGACTTGTGTACTAAGCTTTCATATAAAGAGGAGGCTGGAGAAGGGAGGGTTTGACCAGTAGGCAGGAGTGCAAGAAATGGTTAAAAGGAAAGGGAAGAGGCAAGACACATGCACTTGAGAGGTAGGGGCAGGGATGGTGAATGTATTGGTTATTTCTGTAAGGGAAGTATCTTTCATCTGCTCGGTAAAACGCTTGTCTGTCAGATATTGTCCTAAAATTAAGCAACCACATTAAGACAGACTAGGAAGGAGGATTGATTGGCCATCCACTTTTGAAATATTAACAGGCCTTTGAAAACTCTATGTACAGCAGAGACACTTAGAGTAGACTAACAGATATGGAAACTGAGGCTGAGCCCTCAAATATAGAAACACAAAGGAGGTGGAACAGCTGTAAGAAGAAACTAGTAATTGGTACATGGAGTGTGAAAAGTGTGAATGTAGGAAAACAAGACATTGTTAAGAAAGGAACGGAATGAATAAATATGGATATATTAGGTATTAGCGAAATGAGATGGATTGTCATAGGGCATTTTGATCCAGATGATCATATGATCTACTATTCTGGAGATAAAAAAAGTGAGAAAAAACAATATTGCATTTATAGTTAAAAAGGTCATTTCTAAACCCATCTTGAAGTATAATATTGTGGTGTTGTTGTTGTTGTTGTTCTTAGGTGCTGTCATGTTGTAGACGACTCATAGCAACTCTATGAACGAAAGACCCAAACACTTGTATAACTTTCATAGTTTCTCCACGTTCATAGAGGTTCTGGAGGCAAGCTATTTTGGAAGTTGATGCCTCTCCTTCTTCTAAGCTTGTTTTAATTGGGAAGCTCCATCAAACACTATCCACCATGGGTAACCATTATCACACTTGACACATCAATGTCACAATGTTTAGCATCACAGCAACCACGGGTTACCTCTGTACAACAAATAGACCAGAGCTATACCACTTAGAAGAATGTGAGTGACAGGAAAATCTCCATACACATACAAAGAAGACCTGTTAATACCACTATCATTCAAATTTATGTGCAAACAATGGTAGCCAAAGAGGAGGAAAACAATGTTTTTTATCAAATGTTGCAGTCAGAAATCTATCAAACATGCAACTAAGATGCATTAATAATAATGAGTGACTGGAATGCCAAATTTGGGAACCAGGAAGAAGGACCAATAGTCGGAAAATATGGACTTGGTGACAGAAATGAGGCTGAAGATAGAATGATAGAATTCTATATGCCGTTGTTGTTACATGCTGTTGAGTCACTCGTGACTCACAGCGACCCTATGTGCAACAGCATTAAACTCTGCTCTATCCTATGCCAATCGCACTGTCTCAGACCACCCATCCTGATTACCCCAGTCACTGAATCAATCCACCTCATAGAGGGCCTTCCTCTCCTGTGCTGTCCCTCCACCCTCCCAAGCATGATGTCCCTCTCCAAAGACTGGTCCCTCTTTACAACATGTCCAAAGTATGGTAGACAAAGCCTCAGAATCCTTGTCTCCAAGAAGCAGCCTGGTTTAACCCTCTCCAGGATGAATCTGTTTGTTTTCCTAGCAGTCCATGGTACCCCTAATACTATTCTCCAGCAACACAGCTCAAAGGCATCAATTTTCCTTCTCTCCTTCCTAATCATTGTCCAACTCTCTGATGCACAACAAGTGGTAGCAAAGACCATAGCCTATCTCAGACACACCTTAGTCTCCAGAGAGACACCACTGCTCTTCAGAACTTTGGAAGGCCCCTAACAGCAGACTTTCCCATGGCAATACATCTTTTAATTTCCCGGCTACTGGTGCCAAGAGTGTTGACTGCGGAGCCAAGCAAACTAAAGCTGTGAACAATCTCAATCTCTTCACCATCCATCCTGATGCTGCCAATTGGTCCAGTGGTGAAAATCTTTGTCTTCTTGACATTGAGCCTCAATCCATATTGAATTCTGTATAGTTAATTATTTATTCACAGCAAATATCTTTTATAAGAAACATAGATGTGGGCTATACACATTAATTTCACCTGATGAGATGCACAAGGATCAGATCAATTACATTTGTGGAAAGGATTGTTGGAGAAGTTCAATATCAGCAGTGAAGACTAGGCCAGATGCTTATGATTGAACAGACCATCAACTACTCATATGCAGCTTCAAATTAAAACTAAAGAAGATTTAATCGTATCCACAAGAATCAAAAGTTGATTTTGAGTCTATCCTCACTGAATTTAAAAACCAATTCAGAAATTGATTGAAGCCTTGAACACAAGTAAATGAAGACTAGATGAGCTGTGGGAAGATAAGAAAAGACTGTAGGTTAGTAATCAAATAACAATTTGCACCAATCTCAAGAGTGTTCCTCTTCTCTGTTACCAGACAATGAGGAACATAGTTGGCTTATTTGATTCTCTGAAATATTCTATATTCAAGTACTATTTTAAGGTGGGTCAGGGAAAACTGTAATTGGTAATGTTTATGTTAATGTGAAAATGATGTAGTAAAAGCAAAAAAATAAATAAAACTATGTGATTTCTTTTTTAATCAATAGGTGGCAGCTATGAGGAAAGAATATTTTTTGCATACCTGGAACGTATTTGAGCTCGCAATTACATTTGTTGGTATTATAGATGCATCATTTTACAACCAAATCTCCAAAGAAAGGAATTTCACTGTTATTAAAACAATGGTCTTCCTTAAAATTGTTCGACTGCTTCGTTTATTGCGCATTTTGAAGGTAAATCCTGCAATTACAAGTTTCTCCTAAAGGGTATCTTTAATTATGGCTTAAAACTGGTCTCCTAGTCTTAGAGTGATCTCTTTCTGTTGACCTAATATTTGTATTTTAAATTTCAGCTTCCTTTAGTCAAACGTAGTTTTATAATACTTCAGATTGTTATCGTTGTTATCATTGTTGTTCTTAAGTGCCCTTTAGTCACTTGCAACTCATAGCAACCCTATGCACAATAGCTCTGGATCTTGTCCTGTCTCGAGCCACTCTTGCTCTCTCTGAAATATCTATCTCCATTACCCCAGTGCTGTGTCAATCCATCTCCTCCAAGATCTTCCTCTCTTGCATTCTCCCTCCATCCTTCCAAGTATGATGTCCTGCTCCAAGAACTGGTCCCTCCTGGCAACATGCCCCATCCTTGGGCATACCCAAATTATATTGGAAATTCACTTAGCACACAATAATATTGAAATACTCATTCAAACTACTCTTTAATCAGAGGATTGATCCAAAGTCCACATAAATATAAATACAAATTAAGCTTCAAAATAATGTTTGTCTCATACAGACATGCAGAATGGAAGGTAAATGTCTACTAAAACAAAGGAAAACCCTAGGCAAACTGCAAAATGACAAGACATATGATATGCATCTAAACAAGTAAAAAATAAATACATATGTAACATTGCATAGATTCATACTATACTGAATCACAACATCCATAAATTATCTTTCATTATTTATCACATCCTTATATCATCAAAGATCTGTTCTGTGGCAATAATCATGCTCACTTACTGAAGTCAAGTTGATTCCCACATAGCAACCGTTCATTAGGATTTCTAGGCTGTAATTTAAAGAGAAGATGACTTCCTATCTTCTCCCACAGAGCTGGTCAATTTGACCTGCTAACCTTCTGTTTAGCATATTGTACATTTTTCTATTTCTATTGTATGAAATTCATTCTTTCACATAAGGAAGGTGAAATGTAAGTGGACACAGACACAGTATCATTGCTAAGCCTATCACAGAAAAAGACTTCAGAATAAAGTGTAAAAAGAACAGAAATTTGTTCTCACAATCCTGAGAAGTCTAAATCATTAGTATATTGACCATGTCAATTCTTTTTAAGCAGCTTGAATGAAAAACTATCCCATATCATTCTCTTAAGTTTCTAGTGGCTTCCAGAAATCCTTGGCTTATTTTTGTTTCTTGTAGATATATATTCCTTTGTCATTGCTTTGAGTCTGCCTTTGTGTCATTATTTCCATGTCTGTTCTTCTCTTTTCTAGGCAGTCCTACAAAGAGATTAGGATTAGAACATAGCCCCTTCTTACAATTGAACAGATAATACCTTCAAAGAATAACCCCATTTTCTCACACAAAGTTACATTTATAGTACAGTGGCTAGGACTTACATATATATTATAATATATATATAAATATGAATATGAATTCACTCTATAGAACTCTCCTTTCTGTCTTCCTTAATTCATCATACCAAACAAGACTCCCAGAGATACATATGTCTCTCCTATGGGATCTAGAACAATAAATATTACCCAGTTCATGTGACAAAAAAAAGCTGATAGCTGATAGCTGATAGACCAGGACTTTACATTGAGATCTTTACTACCTATGTTTATAAGTGTCTCTAGGGACTGAGAAATATGTTCCAAATCAACCAAACTGAAACATATGCAGCTTATAGTACTTACCCTTTTAGTGATATATGGGACAATAAATAACACTAGTAAGTGATTTGACCTGAATAAGGCAAATCTAATGTATTCCAGACCAAAACAAGCAAAATATCTACCACAGAGTCTAGTTATTGTGGATTCATGACACTCCTAAAGTATGGGTTAGAACTGCTATATAGGATTCCTATGTCTATGAAATCTTTTGTAGAAGCAAACTTTCTCCCATGAAGCAATTGGTGAATTCAAACCACTGACATTATAGTTAGCAGAGCAACACTCAATTCACTGTGGTAGGAAAACCCTCAGTATATTCCAATAAGTAGTTAATTATGGCTGAGAGAAAAGTATACAAAGTCTAGCAAAAGCATGTATTCATGCAAAAACTGTACTTAGACCAAGAAGATGCTGTCTGAACAGAATAAGGGAGCACTGCAAGGCTTAATATCTAGAAAGATGTGCAGCAAGACTGTATCCTCCACATCTGTCCTATCTATACGCTGAACAAATAATTTGAGAGGCTAGATTTTATGGCATTAGGATCAGAGAAAGATTCATCAACAACCTGGCTGAAAGTGAGGAAAGCGCTTGCAACAGAAAACCAAAGCCTACACCTCCAATGTCAAGCATCTCAACACTGAGAGGAAAAAAATTCCTCACCACTCTGCCCATAAGCAACATGATGATAAATGGAGAAAGGACTGAAATTGCCAATAACTTAATCTTGCTTGGATCCATAATTAACACCACTGACACCAACAGCCAAGAAATCAAAAGACATAGCCCATTGGGTAAATCTGCTATCAAGGCCCTCAACAAGTTGTTAAGAAGCAATGATGTCAATTTAATGACTAAAGTGTGCTAGATTATGGCCATGGTTTTTTCAGTCACCTTCTATGCATCTGAAAGTTAACTAGGGGTGACAGAAAAGTTGATGTCTTTGAGTTGTAATGTTGGAAAAGAATACTGAATATACCAAAGACTGCCAAATGAACAAGTGCAGCCTGAGTGTTCCTTGGAGGCAAAGATGGTGAAATTTTTGTCTCATATATTTTGGACAAGTTGTTAGGAGGACAATTTTCCAAGAACAATTCCTTGGTAAAGGACATCATGCTTGTAAATGTGGAGTATCAGTGAAAAAGAGGAAAACTCAACGAGATATATTGGCACAATTACTATAACAATGGGCTCAGGAGTATTGGAGGATGTTATGGCATAGGTCAAGGCTCAGATCTGTTGTTCATTGTGTTGCTCTGAGTCATAATCAACTTGATGGTACCTAGCAACAACAACATCACTTTCAACAAGATGGATTGACATGATGACTGTCGTCGCAAGGAGCTCAAATATATCAGAAATGGTGAGGATGGCACAGGACAGGGCAAGGTTTCAGGTAAGTTGTTCATAGGGTTACTCTGAGTGGTAGTCTACTTGATAGCACCTAACAAAGATAATAACATCCATTATAGAGAAAGAAACTGCTAAGCCAACTAAGCAAAGTTTACTTATACATCCAGGAAACCAAGAATCCTCATATCAAATGAGGAGCCCTTGGAATATGGAGAAAAATTAGAACTAGCTTCTGTTCTAACAGAGTTTTTTTAGAAGGACCATTGCAGGAATACCATACATCTTAATGTTCTGTTCAGTGTTAAGCACAGAATTATGTGGACTAGAAAAAGACTTCCTTATTTGATGATATTTGAACTGAATATTAAAGAATGAATATAAGTTTTAGGAGGTTCGTAGCAGGTGTTTGAGAATAGAAAATGGGCATTGCTGAGTATAGACAAGAAAAATGTACAGAACACTAGCTCTGGAGATAAGAAAATTAAACAACAGTAAAGACTAAACAAGCTCCCAGTAAATAAATGAAGAACAAAGAATCGTAGTTTAACAATTATATGGTAGCATCTAGTAGAAAGGTTTGGTAGGAAGTGTTTAATGAACTTTATTTCTGAACTCTAAGGCCAGAGATTAATAACCTAATTTCCTCAAGAATTTAAACTAGTTGAAATTTGTGCCCATTTTTTAAGGGAAATAAACAAAAGTGCATAGTGTCATAAACTTCATATAGATGTTCCAGGTTGTTACAGGGAAAGACCTCTAGCTATAAAGTCATGCATAAACCAAGGAAGAACCTGGCAGGTAACTTTAGCCAGCTGAGAGAAAACTTTATTTCTTACTGTCTAATTGTCTACTACTTGTATATAAAGTTTTCGAACAGCTTCGAAAAAACATATGATCAAAGTTTTTGAAGCAGCCTATGGTCATGAGGTAACAGTGATGAAGGAGAAAGTTCAGGCTTCTCGGAAGGACTTGGCATAAAATAAAGCCCAAGGAATTTATAGAATACCAATTGACATATTTCAACAAATAGATACTGCCCTGGATGTGCTCACCAAGTTGTGCAAAGAAATATGGAGGACAATTACATCACTAACTGACTGAAAGAAATCCATATTTATTCCCATTTAAAAAAAAAATGAACCGACATGGTGTCAAAATTATAGAACACTATAACTATTATCACACACTAGCAAAATTCTGCTGGAGATTTTCCAGAAAAAACTGGAACAGTGCATCAAGAGAGAACTACCAGAAATACAAGCTGGGTTTAGAAGAGGTTGTGACACTGGAGACATTATTAACAATGTCAGATGGGTCTTGACTGAAAGGAAAGAGTACCAGAGGAATATCTATCTGTGTTTCATTGCCTACAAAGAAACTTGGCTGTGTGGATCACAACAAACTGTGGCTGACTCTGAGAAGAATGGGAATCCCAGAACACTTGATTGTGCTTATGTGAAACCTATACTTGGGCCAGGAAGCAGTCCTCAGAAGAGAGCAGGGAAACAATGAATGGTTCAAAGTCAGGAAAGGTGGAAGTCAGGGATGCATCTTGGCTCCATGCCTTTTCAATCTATATGCAGAACAGAATATTCAGGAAGCAGGGCTTTATGAGGAGGAATATGGCATCAAGATTGGAGGTAGACTCTTCAACAACCTATGTTATGCAAATGACATAACTTTGCTTGCTGAAACTAAAGAAGACCTGAAGCGCTTGCTGCAGAAGGTCAAAGACTGTAGTCTTCAATATAGATTGAAGTTTAACATCAAGAAGACAAAGATTCTCACCACTGGGCCGGCCGGCAGCACCACAACATATGGAGAAGAGATTGAGGTTGTTAACAATTACAGCTTGCTTAGCTCCACAATCAATACTCTTAACACCAGCAGTCAGGAAACCAAGAGATTATTTACACTGTGAAAATCTGCTGTCAGGAATCTCTCCAGAGTGCTGAAAAGCAATGATGTCAGTCTAGAGACTGTTGTTATGTGCCATCGAGTCGCCTGCAACTCACAGAAACCCTATGTACAACAGCCCTAAATTCTGCCCTATCCTGTGCCAATCACACCATCTCTGACACACCTGCCCCCATTATTACCCTAGTCACTGAATCAATCCATCTCATTGAGGGTCTTCCTCTCCTGCACTGTTCCTCCACCCTCCCAAGTATGACGTCCCTCTCCAAGGACTGGTCCCTCCTTGCAACATGTCTAAAGTATGTCAGACAAAGTTTCAGAATCCTTGCCTCCAAGGCGCAGCCTGGCTTCACCCTTTCCAGGACAAACCTGTTCATTTTCCTAGCAGTCCATGGTATATTCAATACTCCAACACCACAGCTCAAAGGAATCAATTCTCCTTCTATCATTCCTAGTCATTGTCCAGCTCTCCGATGCATAGAAACTGATTGCAGGGAAGATGCCCAAGCCACAAGAAGTTAAACCTGGAGCAGAAATTAAAGGGAAAGGACTTTTCTTCAGAACCATCTGAAATAAGAAGGTTTCCCTACCGTTAGAGGTCTATATTTGGACTTACAGGCCCCTAAACTCAGGGGACACTGATCACAGCATCAGAAATAAGCAACATCTTGATGAATTTAGATTCACAGAAACCCACAATGCTTGAGATATAAGCTGTCAGATCAAGGATGTATAGAAGGCGTTAGGGGTTGAAGGGAGTAGGTGGGACTAGAAGGGAATGCTGGTGGAGCAGGAAAAGGGGTGGATCAAGAGACTTGTGTCAAGGGCAGGGACAAAAGTAAAACTACAGGCTCTTTCTACAATTGGGAAAGATATTTCATCTGCATTGTTCTGTAACATGCTTGTCTGTTAGATACTTTTCTAAATTTGAGCATTCAGATTAAGATAGACTAGGAAGAAGGATTGGCCTCCACTTCTGAAATAGCAGGCATTCGAAAACCCTATGCACAACAGAACACACTTAGACTAGCAGATAGGGCAATAGACATGGGACTTTCAAGTATGGAAATAGTAAAGAGGAGGAACAGTTGTAAGCAGGCACTAGTGGTTGGAACACAGAATGTGAGAACTATGAATGTAGGAAAATTAGATATTGTTAAGCAAGAAATGGAACAAATAAATAACATACTAGGTACTGGTGAGATGAGATGGACTGGCATGGGACATTTTGAATCAGGTGATCGTATGATCCATTATGCTGGAGATGAAAAGATGAGAAAAAAATTGGGTTGCCTTCATTGTTAAAAAAGTCATTTCTGGATGTGTCTTGAAATATAATATTGTGAGTGACAAGATAAAATCCATACATATACAAGGAAGTCCAGTGAATACCACTATTATTCAAATATATGCACAAACAACCAGAGCCAAAGAGGAGGAAACAGATGATTTCTACCAACTTTCGCAGTCAGAGATCGATCAAACATGCAATCAATATGTGTTAATAGTGATGGGTAACTAGAACACAAAAATTGGGAACAGAGAAGAGTCTAGAGACTGTTGCACCTAATCCAGACGATAATTTTCACAATTACTTGTTATGCCTCAGAGTGGAATAATGACTAAAGATGACAGAAAAAGAATCAATGCCTTTGAATTGTGGTGCTGGAGAAGAATCTTGAATGTACCACGGACTGCCAAAAAACAAATAGATCTGTCTTGTAGAGGGTAAACCAAGTTTCTCCTTGGAAGCTAGGGTTTTGAAGTTCCTTTGCACATACTTCGGGCATGTGGCCAGAAGAGACTGGTCCTTGGAGAAGGAAGAGTGGAGGGACAGTTGCAGGAGAGGAAGACTCCAGGGGAGATGGATTGATACAGTGACTGCAGCAATAGAGGTTGATGTGTCAGAATTAGTGAGACTGGCTCAGGGCAGGGCAGGGTTCAGAGCTGCTATACATAGGATCGCTGTGGGTCGCAGGCGACTGAATAGTACGTAACAACAACAACAACGGCCTACTGGCAAGAAGCTGCACTGCAATCCCAAAGGCACACAGTTCAAGTCCACTCTTCCAGAAAAGGGTGGACTATCTCCTCCCATGCGATTAATTGACTCTGAAATTCCACTGGAAGGTCAGCTATGGGTTCAGTTCCAACTCAATGGTACACAATAACAACAACAATGAGGAATTTAATTGCCAACCCAAAAGCATGCAGCTCAAATCCACTAGCAGCTCCACAAAAGAAAGATGTGAATTTTCCTCCCGTGCAATTAATTTACTGCCTTGGAAAACCCACTGTAGAGCCACTTATGAGTCAGCTAAAACTTGATAAGATATATAACAATAAAATAACATTCTGGTTAAACTCAACAACAGCAACAACAAAGCATTCTACTCATTGCCATTGAGTCAGAACCAACTCAAAGCTGACCCTTCAATAGGTTCAAAGGCCGTGAATCACGTGGGAGGAGATTGCTCGTCCTCCTCCTGTAGCATCCCTGGGAAATTCTCTGGATTGCTTTCTGGAGCGGCGAGCAGCTCCTTACCCATTAGGCCACAGAGTTTCCTCTGGCAAAACTAATCAACACATGATTAAGGAAATTCTTGAGATCTGAATTAAATAGTCGTCCTGTGTTTTTCAGCTTGTAACACCAAAGTTGCTACAGATAATAGACAAAACAATGAGTCAACAACTGTCATTTAGGTACTCTGTTTTGAAAGGATATGTCCAAGGGGAAGCAGACATAATGACTGTAATGGATCATATTTCAAGTTCTCAGCAGATTAAGCAGGTGAGGAAAGGCTTAACAGTAAAAAAGGGGGTCCTTCCACTTCAATCCTTCTGCTAAGCTCGCACAACATGTTCTAGCCTTTTTTTTTTTCTCTTCTGTCTTATCCCTGAAAAGCATGCCATAACATATTTTTCTTTCCCTTTTTTTTAAAGCAAGATTTTACAAATCAAATTGAATTTCCATCAATCATCTACCCACCTTTTCCCTTGAGCAAAGTAATAAGTTAATGACAAGTTCTGATTAACTCTTTCTTATATATTGCCTTTCCCTTCATCCAACTGACCTATTATTTTTTTTAATCTCCTCTCTCATATTTTTTAAAGTCATAACTTAGGTTAAAAATCAACAGTTGCAATTATAAGAATATTTTATAAGTCAGTTTCTTTTCCAGCAAGAGTAATATTTCTTTTGTTCTGTAGATGTTAGTGAAACGAGTGACAAGAAATACAGCCCGGGCTATGAAAGAGCTGGGTAAGTACTTCTCACCCTAAAGATTCAGCGTAGTTCTACCTTGGTGACAACAGTAGCCTAACTGATCTTTGAAGAAAGTTAGGCACTAATAATAGTAATATTAATAGAAACTGAGGAAAAGTGTTCTGATCTTGTAGTTTGGGTGGGCTAAGTTGTTCTTAGGGCTCCTATGAGGTGACATCAACGCAGGCAAACAACTCTATATACCAGATCTACAGGACACATCACCCTCGGCTGGGAAACATTACCACTAAACTCATGAGACACTGGCCACAGCATAAGAAATTGTCAGCAGCTGAAGGGTTTGGAATCACAGAAGCCCATAAGGCTTGAGATATAAGTTATCAGATCAAGGACTGGACAGTGGGAGATAGGTGTTGAAGGGAGTGGGTGGGATTGGTTGGGGATGCTGGTGGATGGTGGAGCAGAGAAGTACGTGGGTAAGACATTTGTGTCAAGGGTGGGGACAACACTGAAACCAATGGTTAATTCCACAATTGGGGAAATGTCTTTCATCTGGTTTTTTTTTCTGTAAAATGCTTGTCTTTCATATACTTCTTTAAAACTGAAAATTCAGATTAAGACAGACTAGGAAAAAGGATTAGCCATCCACTTTCAAAATAGCAGGTCTCTGAAAATCCTATGTACAGGAGAACACATAAAGACTAACAGGGCAACTAAGGTGGAACTGTCAAGCATGGAAATACAAAGGAAGAAGAACATTGTAAGAAGACACTAGTGATTGGAACATGGAATGTGAGAACCATAAATGTAGGAAAATGAGATATTGTTAAGGAAGAAATGGAACACATAAATATCGACATACTAGGTATTGCAGAGACGAGATGGACTGGCATGGGGCATTTCAAGTCGGATGATCATATGATCTATTACTCTGGAGGTGAAAAGGCAAGGAAAAATGGGGTTGCTTTCATGTTAAAAAAGTCATTTCTAGATCTGTCTTGAAATACAATGTGGTGAGTGACAGAATAATATCCATACGCATACAAAGAAGTCCAGTGAATACCACTATCATTCAGATATATGCACCAACAACCAGAACCAAAGAAGAGGAAATAGAAGATTTCTACAAACTTTCACTGTCAGAGATAGATCGAACATGCAATCAAGATGCATTAATAATGAATGACTGGAATGCAATAGTTGGGAATAGAGAAGAAGGATCAGTGGTTGAAAAACATGGACTCGGTGACAGAAAACAAGACAAGTGTAATAATAATAATGGGGTGTTCTGGAGGTACAGTCCATAAGGAGTTGCACTACTAACCCAAAGGTGACGCCTTTCTGGTGGCTTAAATCTGCCAGCAGCTCTGAAGGATAAAAATGAACAGTTTCCTCTTGTGCAATTTATAGGGATCTCTGGTGACCAAGTGCGAAGAAGCTGTGCTGCCAACATGCTTCTAAGCCACTCATTTTTCCACAGGAGAAAGATGGGAAATCTCCTCCTGTGTAGTTTGCTGCTTCTGAAAAGATACTGGAGGGTCAGCTATGAATCGGTTCCAACTTGACGGCATACAACAAAAGCCACCAGGAGGATCAGCTAGGAGTCAATTTTGTGTCCACAGCAATGAATTTGAGTGAAATACCTCTCTACTTATCTCTGTCGAACAACACAATGAAGCAATGAAGCCCTTTTTTTTTTTCTTATAAATGTATGTTATCCACAGGAATCAAAATTTGGTCTTGAGTTTATGTCCTCTGAATTTAAAAAAACAACTCAGGAACAGGTTTAAGGTCTTGAACACTAATGAATGAAGACCAGATGAACTGTGAGAAGATATCAAGATTATACTTCATGAAGAATAAAAGTCATTACAAACAAGGAAGAAGAAGAAAGGACCAAACTGGATGTCAGAAGACACTGTTCTACTTAATGCTCTAGAGCATCGAGAGACCTAAGCAAAAGGAAGAAATCAAGAAGTTAAGGAGCTGAATAGAAGATTTCCAAGGGTAGCTCAGGAAGACAAGGCAAAGTATTATTATGAAATGTGCAAAGAGCTGAAGTCAGAAAATCAAAAGGACCAAACTTGCTCAGTATTTCTTAAGCTGAAAGAACTAAAGAATAAACTTAAGCCATGAGTTGCAATGCTTAAGGATGTTATGGACAGAATATTGAATGAGTTGGGAAGCATTAAAAGGAAGGAGTATACAGAGTCATTGAATGAAAAAGAATTGGCTGACACAGAAAAATGTCAAGAAACAACATACGTTCAAGAAGCAATGATGATGAAAAAGGAAGTTCAGCCTTCTCTGAAGGATTTGGAAAAAAAATAAAGCCCCAGGAAATGAGAGAATATCAATTGGCATATTTCAACAATCAGATGCTGCCCTGCCACCAAGCTGTGCCAAGAAATCTGGAGGACAACTACCTGACCAAGAGGCTGGAAGAGAACCATATTTATTCTGATTCCAAATAAAAAGGTGATCCGACAGAGCGTGGAAATTATAGAACAATATCACTAATATCACACACTAGCAAAATGCTACTGAAGATTATCCAGAAACCACTGGAACAGTACATTGACAGAGAACTACCAGAAATACAAGCTGGGATTAGAAGAGGCTGTGGCACTTGAGACATTAGTACCAATATCAGTTAGATTTTGGCAGAAAAGAGAATACCAGAGGAATGTCTATCTGTGGTTCATTGACTATGCAAAGGCATTTGATTGTGTGGATCACAACAAATTGTAACTAATTCTGAGAAGAATGGAAATTCCAAAACATTTGATTGTGCTTATGTGAAACCTTTGCTTGGACCACGACAGAACAGAGCAGGAAAACACTGCATGGTTCCAAATAAGGAAAGGGGTATGTCAGGGACGCATCCTCTCTCCCTACCTTTCTAATCTATATTCAGAACAGATCATTCATGAAGCAGGGCTTTATGAGGAGCAGTGTGGCATCAGAATTGAAGGTAGACTCATCAACAACTTATGGTATGCAGATGACACAACCTTGCTTGCTGAAATTGAAGACCTGAATAATCTTCAATGCGGTCAAGAAGTCAAAAAACAAATTGGATTTGGAAAATCTGCTGTCAGAGATCTTTCCAGAGTACTAAAAAGCAATTATGTCAGTCTAGAGACTAAGGTGCACCTAATCCAGGCCATGATCTTCACAATTACTTGCTATGCATCAGAGAGCTAGACAATGACTAAGGATGACAGGAGAGGAATTGATGCCTTTGAATTGTGCACTGCTTAAAAATAACCAAATAGATCTGCCTTGGAGAGGTTGAAACCAAGTTTCTCCTTGGAGGCTAGGATTTTGAAGATTCTTCTCACATACTTTAGGCATGTAGCCAGGAAAGACTAGTCCTTGGTGAAGGACATCATGCTTGGAAGGGTAGATGGACAATGCAGGAGAGGAAGATCTTGGATGAGATGGATTGATACAATGACTAGGGCAGTGGGGGTTGTTGTATTGGAATTATTGAGACTGGCTCAGGACAGGGCAGGGTTCACAGCTACTGTACATAGGGTTGCTATGGGTTGCACGCAACTCAATGGCACATAACAACAACAATGTTAGTATTCTACAATTACTTATGTCTTTATTTTCCTTCTTTCTCTCTCTCTCTTTCTCTCTCTCTGAGTGAAAACTGACTCATTGTGGGTTTTCAGGAGATTGTAAATCTTGTAGGAGATGATTACCCATCAGAGTGCCCTTTAGTAAGTATATTTTCTTCTAAAGAAGGTGTACATATGCTTTCCTGAGTCATAGGGAAGACGACATTCCCTTTTCAGTCCACTTGTGACAAAGCTGCCATCCTAGCATTCCATCCTTAAAACCAGTTTTTACCTTTGGAGGCTTTGTGTGTGTCAGAGTAGTACTGTTTTCAGAGTTTTCAATGGGGAGTCAATTACCAGGTCTTTCTTCCAAGGCACGTCTGGGTAGATTAAAACCTTCAACCAGTTAACAGCCAAGTGTGTGCTAATCATTTACACTAGCCAACAACTTCTAGGTCTTACAATGAATTGGAACCAGAATAGTGCCTCTCAAGTCCCTCCTAGGGTGGCTAGAGAATTCAGTACCCAATCATGCAATAGGCTGTCCTCTGAGTCATAAACTTATTTCTTTCTGGTGTAAGAAACACACTGGAAGTGGACCAGACACCCCATTTTAACTGAAACTGATAATACTATTTCAAATGTGGTGAGGTCAAAAGTGGATCAGGAGAGAGGTTGGAAACATATAGAAATTCATTAAATTCTTACATTCTTATATCCAACACATACCTGATGGGACACACAGAATGTGAGGGGGAGTCACAAGGCAAAGATGGAGGAGGACTGTGGATCAGCACCTTCATAATGCATTCCACGAGCTATGTGGTGGGGAAAGGCCAGCCATCATGGAGCTTATATTGGTGAGCGATACCTGAAACTCACATCCTGGCCTTGGGCATTTGCCAAAGGGGAAATTGAGCAATTTTCTAATCTAGGTATAGCAGACATGGATGGAAAGGGAGTTACGTGGTATAGATGTGACGATATCGTATTATAGAAACCAGAAAATGTGCTTAAGATATAATCTTCACTCTATGATGTAGTGTTCATATGAGATGAAGAAAGAGAGGTTTGCTGTAGGTGATGAATAACACACACACACACACACACACACACACACACACCCCTCTCAAAAATAAAACATCAGGAAGCCAGACTGGGAATGAAATCATACTGGAAGAGTGGAAGAAAAGTCTTAAATGTCACAAGAAGCACTACCAACAATAACAAGAAACTCACAACGTCGGGTCTAAGTGAGGAAAACTAGAGTACTCCAGAATCCAGGTCAGATAGTCTTTTGAGCATGGATGGATAAGCCATTCAGGTGACTGAGCTGAATGAGGCTGCTTACTCAGAACAGTATTTAAGCACAGGAATCCTAGTTCATAGGAAAGCAGATCATGAGATCCGTGCACAAACATCAAACAACCTCTCTGCATCTAGAGCAGGTTGTTATTATTGTTGTTAGGTACTGTCAAGTTGACTAAAATTCATAGCAAACCTGTGAACGACAGGTCTGAATTCTGCCCTATCGTGTGCCTTCCTCATCATCTTTGATATGCTTGAGCCCATGGTGATGGTCAATCACTATATCAATCCATCTTGTTGAGGTTCTTCCTCTCTTTTGCTGACCCTATACTTTTACAAGCATGAATTTTTTTTCCAAGGACAGCACCCCCTAACAACATACTCAAAATAAGTGAACCAAAGTTTCACCATCCTTGCCTCTTAAGGAGCACCCCGGTTGCACTTTCTCCAAGATGTATTTGCTCTTTTGGTAGTCCATAGAGCATTCAGTACTCTTCTCCAACACCACTACTCAAAGGCATTAACTCTTTTTTCTGTCATCCTTATCTGTTCTCCAACATTCAGATGCATAGCAAGTAACAGAGAAGACCATGTCTGTCTTGGATCAGGTGTACCTTAGTCCAAGCCTTAGTCTCACTGAGGTGAAACTTGTCCACCATGTGTGGCCCTGCTGGTATTTGAAATATCAGTGGTTTAACTTCCAGCATGACAGTGTTCATCTAATCTTATCCCTGGGGCTATCTGGCCTCCTGTGGGCTTAGGCACAGATATGATCTGCTATTGAAGGAAGAAGCAAACAGAATTCTAGTGCTATCGGCAAGTGATGACCAATAGTGGCAATTTTCACCATAGAGAGATATAGTTCTATGTATGAAGGGTGTATCCCATGGGCTTGAAATAAAACCACTAGCTAATGTTCACAAGAAATATTTAAAATACAGTATTTCAACTGAAAATGTCTTGTTGTTTTTAGGCTACTTAGAATATGATCATCCAGAAATCGCCATCACTATGAAGACAAAGGAACAAATTGATGTCATGCTTAACATAGCTAGAGAAATTGTGAAGGTTTTCAGATCTGAAGGAATTATTCATAAAATTGAAGGTTCTGAAATTAACAAGGTACAGCAGAATATTTTCAACCAAATAGTCATTTGACCTATGATCATTCATGATCTTTAGCTCTCTTTCTTGCTCTTTCCTTTATAGGCATCCCTGAGACATGAATATGTAATTTAGAATAGATTCTGCAAGACTAGCACCAACTTCTTGCAGCCTTAGGGGTCAGTTTCTCTTGCCATTCTTTCTCATTCTCTTTCACTGCTTTGTTCCCACAGAGGATCTAATGAATGTATTCTTTATCCTGGGCCAAAATGTCAATATGTGCCTGAAAATTATCTGTGGCATTAAAATAAGTTTTCCCTAGAAGTCATGGTTAGTAAAAACACCTATTTGTAGGGTGCAGGATTGCCTGCATTTCTTTTCTCTAAGTCATTTAAATGGTACCATGGCAAAGGACCCTGGGGAGGTAGTGAGTTAACATGTTTATCTGCTAACTTAAATGTAGGTGGTTCAAATCTCCGCTGCATGATGAACAATGAGCAGTATCCTCCTGTTAAATTTGCAGCTTCCAAAACCTGATGGATGGTCACTATGAGCCAGATTTCTAATCAATGGTGGTGGGCTTACAAACAACACATAAAAATATATGGGTTAGTCTGTAAGACACTGTTGTGGTGTTGTTGTTAAGCGCTGTCGAGTCATAGGCGACTCATAGCGACCCTATGAGGGAAAGTCCCTCAACATTTGTGTGACTTTCATATTCTCTCCAGGTTCATAGTGTTTCCGGAGGCAAGCTATTACGGAAGTGGATGCCACTCCTACTTCCAAGCTTGTTTTAATCAGGGAGCTCCACCAAACACTGTTCACCATGGGTAACCATTAACGCATTTCATACATCAGCGTCACAGTGTTCCGCTTCACAGCAACCACAAGTTACTGCTGTAAGGCAAGTGGACACACCAGGGCTATACTATCTGGGAGAATGTTTGAACAAACACAATGAAAGACAGACCTGAGGGCCGCGGATTAAAAGTCACCCACCTTTGGCTTGGTAGCATTGCCTTCTGTCCACTGGGCCAAATGATCTCTTTCTATGTTGATGTTATTGTTGTTAAATGCCCTCGAGTCACAGGTGACTCACAGCGACCCTATGAAGGAGAGTCCTCAACACTTGTTGACTTTCATCCTTTCTCCAAGGTTCATAGGGTTTCTGGAGGAAAAAATTTAGAGAAAAAATAATCATAAAACTTTCTCATTCTGAATATATGTGTAAAACTCTTACCTTATCCTAATTGTTAATTGAATCTGACAATATATTAAAAACATAAAGTATTATTGCTGTTTTCAATCTTTCCCAAATGGAGTTCTATAGATAACTCATTTATAAAATTAAAGCAATGAGTTTCAGTTTCTTTGGCCAAAATGAAGAAAATATGTACAAAATAAGTATATTCAACAAGGACTCTGTATTCCAAATTGTAAAAAAAAAAAAAATCTTACAAATCAGCAGGCATAAGTAGAGGAAAGGACTTTAAGGAAATGGGAAAGAGAGGTGAACAGGTATTCACAAGAAATTATATTCAAAGGGTCCATAAATATTAAGGAAAGATACAAAAAATATCATTGCCATAAGGTAAATAGAAATGAAAACCAAGAAGATATCAAATACCCAAGTTCTATAATATTTTGAATGAAAAAATTAGATAAAAGAGATGAAACTTGACAGTGTCAAGTACAGGCAATAAAGAGTTCTGGTGGTTTAGTGGGTAGGGCACTGTCAATCCACAGATAGGCAGTTTGAATCCACCAGTGGTTCCATAGGAGAAATATGGACAGTCTCCTCCTGCGTGTTTTACAGCCTCTAAAAACTCGCTGGAGGTTCAGCTGACTTACGTCCAGCTTGATGGCACCCAACGGCTGGTAAGGACAACAATGTAGAACAACTACATTTTTTTTCTACATTAAATGAAAGTGTAAATTAATGTAACACTTTAGAAAAATGTAATATTCACAATATACTGAAAAAAAATGCAAGCATTTGATGCAATAATTAGACTTCTGAATGTACACTCAATGTTACTTATATTAGACCCATACAGCCCAAATGTCCAGCCATAATAATTAAATAAAATCATGCTATATATTCATCCAACATAATGCTATTCAACAATGAAAAGGAATAACTTTTACTGTCAGGAATACAATAAATATGTCTCAAAAATGTTAATAATTTTGAGGAAATTAAACCAGACATGAACAAGTATATATTCCTGCATAAAATAATCTAAAAACTAGATTAAGCTAGAGCAGAGATAGTCAGGGTACTGACTATCTTTGGACTGGATGAGAAGTTAGGGAGCCAGGGACCACTCAGCAGTATGGTAAATATGTAATTTCTTAATCTGGGTAATGGGTACTTTTCAACTGCTCTTTCAATGAATATTTGTACTTTTTTTTTTCATGAATATACTGTATTTCAAAAATTTACCTTAAGAAGTTTCATCTATGCATTCAGTATGATGATAAAATAGTTCATACTAACTACCATTGAAAGTGGATTCTGACTCCTAGCGTCCCTAGTTGCTTTTCTGAGGTTGTCAGTCTTTACGGCGGAAGACGGCCCATCTCTCTCTCATGGCACTGGGAGGATTTGAGTAGCCAACTTCATAGTTAGCAACCTGACATGTTACCATTCATCTATCAAGGCTCTTACATGATAACATAAGGAGATCAGAAATAAGAGTGTTAAAAAAAAAAGAAATAAGAGTGATGACAAAGGAGAGGTTGGTTTCTATGGGAGAACAAAAATCTCAGAATAAGAAAAGAAAACAGTACAAGGTCATAATTGTTTCAAACAGTCTACCAACAGCAGTCTGGCTCAACTCCTTTCTTTATTTTTATTTTGTTCACCTTTTTTTATTGTTATTAATTTCAACAAACATTTACAGAGATTTTGGATTTCCATTCATTCATTGTTGCACTTTTCTCCCTCCTTTCTTAATTTTGTGGTTTTAGTTAATCATAGCCAAAAAAAAAGAGATGTTTGATTTTCAACCAGATATTATCAGGTCTCCTACTATTGAAGAAGTATTATACCAAATCCCATGGCTAGATAAAGAACAGGAACATATAAGCTTTATTCAGGTAACTTTCTTTTCCATTAATATGATTTAACTGAACATAACATTTGAGAAATGTTTTTCAAGAATCATTTAAATATAGTAAAATTATAAAAATGATGTATGTTTTTATGATATATGTATGTATGTATGTGTATTTCAACATATATGTTGAAAAATAAATGTTGATGCTTTATTTTCTCCTAACTACATAACTCCTTAGATTAGGCATAAAAGGTAACTCTTTATCAATTTTTTTCATTAGTTAAAGGAGAAAAAAGTCTTGAATCATTACCTAAAATAAGATTTGAGATTTCTTTAATTTTAGATTATTTATAATTTTATATATTCTGTCCTCCAATACTGAAAAGAGCTATAACGAGTTCTAAAAATAGCATGCAGAATATATAATGCTCTGCTGAGAGTATGTGTGTGTGTGTGTGTGTGTGTGTGTGTGTGTAGTTAAAATAAATTGCAATTTCAGTAAAAATTTATAGACAAAATTAATTTTCCATTCTACTATTCACACGCACATTTTGCTTTATCACATGAATTACAGTCCCCCACATTGTAACATGAGAATTCTTCTATAAGATTATTTTTTCATTAATTCTTTTATCCTATTCCTTTTTGATTTCTGACTTTATTTCTCAGCAAATGTTAGCCCTTTTCCTCTTGTGTAGTTGGTTTTCCTAAGAAGCTGAGAGCTTACACTGTCTTATTGTTCACCTTACTGACCTGTCTGTTATTGGACTGAAAGTTGAGCCATGGAGACAGTGGTGAATTTAGTTCCAGGGTTAAGGAGCAAGGAAGGACCTTAGTCTCAGAAAAGCCACCAATGTCTAACAGGTCAAGAAGCTTGGCCATTTTTATAGCTTTGAGTTTTGTTCTAGGACCTGCTACCATGATTCCTTTCAGAGCTGTCAGCCGTGGCCTCCAGGTAGCATTTAGTTGTTCTAGCCTAAGGGTCATAGAGATTTCAGTTTGTGTGGTCCACTAATCTGAGCTAATTCTTTCCTTTCACCTTTGATTATTTTGTTTTCTTTGCTCCACACACATAGTTGCAACATAAATGGCCACTCTTAACCTATAAAGACTCCAACCACAACTCACAAAAATAAGATGGAAATCATTGTGTTTGTGTGACCTATGTTCTGAGTCTCAGTAGCAGTCACTCATAACCTCTTGTTTTGGGGCACTGTTATAAAGTTTATATATCTGTGCCTACTTATTGGCTGACATATAGAAATATCATCTGCCAAAACTATACACTAATGTAAAATCAAGTTAACATTTTTTTTCCTGGTAATATCTTCAATGTACTAACAAACAGTATTTTTTTAAAAAAAAGTTCTATTATGAAATAGTCCAGAAAAAAATGGTAATTATTATTCCCTATAAGTTAAAATAAAAATGTTTTTTAGTAATATACAAAATTCTTTTGCAATCTGCTTCTTGCCTACTTGTTAACATTGATCTTCAGTTTCCTATTTGTCATATATCTCTCAGGCTGTAGTTACATTGAACCACTTTTGGTACCCTACGCCCTTTGTTATTTCTTAATTCCATTATTTTGTTGATGTTATTTACTTTTCTTAAAATGTCTTTACTTTAACTTCTTTTCAAACTTTCCTTGTTTAATGCTCTTATTCAAACATTCTCACCATACCAATCAAGTATTTTATTGAAACCTTTTTACCCAATTCATACAAAAATATTGTCGAACATGTTTATTGTAAGCCATAATTGGTTTGGGATCTGATCCCTGTGATTCATAGTTCTGTCAATGGCTCATCTTTGAAAGAAGACTGTCAAGTCTTTCTTCTTGGTCTTTCTTAGTCTGTCAATGTTCCAATGGAACTCATTCATTCAGAGCGACATGCAGACTGATGAATGAGCGGGAGTTGTGTGTAGAGCACATAAGCTGGGAATTAAAACCAAGCCAACAAAGTGCTGCTAATAGTTGATAACCAGCTAACTAAAAGATGCAAGACTGAGTTTATTCAGAGGCTTCTTGGGGAGGAAAAAGTCCCTGAAGATCTATCAGATTTCCTCACTGAAAACCCTGGCACATGCAGGATGGTTGGGATGGTTATTGTGCCTTAAAACATCTTGACGACAACTAGTGAGAATATTTTTATTCCTAGATTACTTCTTCCCTAATCCATGTAGAAATACCCCATCTAAAATGTTACCCACATATTAATGCCTACTTTCTCACAATTCTAACTTTCTCATTAAATGCGCTACTAATGTGAGGCAAGGATGGAGAAACTTCATAGTACATATTTTGGGCACGCTGTCAGGAGACCAATAGTCACTGAGGTGAAAACAAAAACAAAAACACATTGTGCTTGGAAAAGTAGAGGGTCAGTGGAAGATAGGAAGACCCTCAACAAAGAAGACTTAACACAGTGGCTGTGTCAATGGGCTCAAGCATATTGGAGATTATAAAGGTGGTGCAGAATAGTGAAAGGTTCATACAATCACTATGAGTCAAGGTCATTATGCATCATTATTGACTAGATATCATAAAACAACTAGTGAGATGTCTCAAGAGATTTTGTTGAGTGAATATTTACCATAAAAATTTAAAACAACACAAACTTAAGTACCTTCAACTGCTGCTGAACTGTTACTTTGGTATATTTATATATGTAATTGGCATATTTGGTCTTTTTTTTTTTCTTAAAGGAAAGAGCCAAACTTGTAACATTTGATTGTGGAAATGATATATTTGAAGAAGGTGATAAGCCCAAAGGAATCTATATAATTATTTCAGGCATGGTAAAGGTATGTCAGATTTATTTATGAATGTACTTGTGAACATTACTTTAAAACTTTGTAAAAGTTGAAAATTTAAATCTTTATTCACACTGTAGGACTGCTCAAATGGCAGTTTTTGTGTTCATCCTAATAAATTATCAAAAGAATCATCTTTTATGATGGAAAATTATACTATCAATCATTAAACATCTTCTGTTTATATGAATTAGATATTTATTCATCTTGAATGGATGAAGCTTGATTGAGTAAGAAGAATCCGAATTCAGTGTATTTCAGAGTACTTTGTTCTAGATCATTTTTTTAAAAAAGTACTTTATTTCTAAATCATTGCTAATTTAATAAATTTATTTAAAAATGTTTTTAAAACAAGATGCATATATTGGAAATTTTAGAGCAAAAATGGGAAAGGTAACAAATCAGATAATTTTAGTAAGACAAGTGTTTTTTCTTCCTTTATTTCTGAACAGCTTCAAAAGTCAAAGCCAAGTTTCAGTGATGACAACATAATTTCGGGATCAAAGGAGAAGGATTTTCCAAAAGTTCATACAGATTATTTAATCAGTGGGGAAATAATGGGAGAACTAAATTGCTTGACAAACACACTCATGGAATATTCTGCCACGTGCAAAACTGTAGTGGAGGTAAGACATAACACCCCATATCTTACTTTCTTGTTAAATAGCTAACATCAAATGCTTCTGTATTTGGTATATATTTACAGTCTAGTGAAAATTTTTTCTTAAGAATAGGAATAATAAAGATGAAAAGTTTTTAAAATTGTACTTAAACCAATAGAATGCCTTTGGAAAGTGGATTGTATAAGTTAGTCTATCATATGAAAGAAGGATTTAACCAGGAGTGAGGAGAAAAAGGCTTTAGGAGCTTTTTTTAAATGGGGTAATTGGGTTAGAGATATATGAGTTATCAAAGCATAATCAAGAAGGTAATAAAGGGGTAACAAGGGAGCAAAATATGAGCAATTAACAGAAAAAATGAACAAAGTGGGTGAATGTAGACAGTTGAGGATAAAATCTGAAAGTACAGGAATTTCCACCAACCTAATTCTACCATCGAAAAGAATAATGACTGCAATCAAATGAAGCCCATGAAATACCTAAAAATCTATAAATTGAAAATTGTATTAAAGTTTTATTTCCATGGAAGCCATTGTCCTAATGCTAGGATATTAACCTATTACTCTAAAATGTATTTCCTTTAAAAATGAAAATACTTCTTTCCCCTGTTTCCGTGCTCTATGAGCTCTCTTAGATAACTTAAAGGGCAATAAGAGGAAAAGTACTTCATAGAAAAATCCTAGTGAGCAAATGTAGAATGAAAGAATTAGGGGCTGGGGGATCTTCTTTTGCCTTTGCAAAGTACATAATGGATCAAAGCAACAATAAAGAAGTGATGATAAAAATCACTAAATGCTGGGATAAGGGTAAAGATAAAGAAGCCACTCATCAATCTTAGCATCATTGCAATTCTGAGAGCTAGGCACTGTGTGTGGTTGTTGTTCTTGTTATTCTGTGCCATCAAATCTGAACCTACTCATAGCTGACTTTCAGAGGCTGTAGTTGAACAGAATACACACCTCCTCCTTTGCAGGTGTTGGTTGATTCAAACTCCTATCTTTCAGTTGACAGTGCAGCTCCACCTCACTGTTGTTCGTCATTGTAGGTGCCATTGAGTTGAGTGTAACCCATAGTGACACTATGAACAACAGATATGAATCATGTCCTATCCTGTGCCATCCTCAACATCTCTGACATAGTTGAGCCCATTGTTGCAGTCACTGTGCCAATCCTTCTGGTTGAGGATCTTCCTCTATTTCGGTGACTCTCTACCTTTCTAAGTATGAAATTTCTCTACAAGGAATAGCCTTTCCTAGAAACAAGACCAAATATATGAAATGAAATTTTGTTATCTTTGCCTCCAAGGAGCTTTAACTGCACTTTCTCCAAGTCATATTTGTTTGTTCTTTCAACAGTCTACAGGAAGTTCCATAATCTTCTCCAACAAAACAGCTCCAAGGAGTCAGTTTGTCTTATGTTTCCCTTATGCCTTGTCCAGCTCTCAGATGCATAGCAAGTGATTGAAAAGAAAGCGGTGTGAATCAGATGCACTTTACTACTCAACATGACATCAGTGTTCTTCAGTAATTTGGAGAGATCCCTGACTACAAGCTTTCCCAGTACAATATGTCTCCTAAACTCTTGACTACTGGTACCAAGTAAATTGTGGATCCAAATAAAATGAACTAATTGAAAGTTTCAATCTTTTCTCTATCTATTGTGCTGTTGGTCCAATGATGAGGATTTTTGTTTTCCTGACATTGAGATGCAATCCATATTGAAGGGTGTATTCTTTGATCTTCTGCAACAAGTGCTTCAAGTCCTCCTTACTTTCAGTAAGCAATTTGTGTCATCTGTATATGTGATGGATGAGTCTTCCTCCAATCCTGATGCTACATTCTTCTTCATTCAAGAGTCCAGCTTCTTGAATAGTTTGCTGAGTGTACAGATTGAATAGATGTGGAGAGAGGAGATAACACTGACATATGCCTTTCTTAATTTTAAGCCATGTAATGTCTCCCTCCTCTGTTCACACATCAGCTTCTTAGGCTAGGTATAGGTTTCATGGGAGCACAATTGAGTGTTCTGGCATTCTCATTATTTTCACTATTAGTCATAATTTGTTATGGCTCACACAGTCAAATGTCTTTACATAGCCAATAAAGTATAAATAGACATTTTCTGATATTCTCTGCTTTCAGCAAGGATCCATCTGACATTGGTAATGATATCCCTAGTGCCATGGCCTCTTCTATACCCTGCATGGAGTTCTGGAAGTTCTCTGTCTATGTACTGTTCTGGCCATTTTTAAATTATGTTTTGCAATATTTTGCTTGCATGTGAGATTAATGATTTTGTTCAGTAATTTCCACATTTTGTTGGATCACTTTTTTTGGAAATGGTGACAAACATGGGTCTCTCCAGTTAGTCTGGTAGGCAACTGTGACCCAAATTTTCTGGCATAGACTGGCAAGCATATCCAGAATAGTGTCTGTCATTTGAAACCTGTTAATTGGTATTCCATAGATTCCTGGGGCCTTATTTCTTTGCTAATATCTTCAGTGTACCTTGAACTTCTTCCTTCATTACCATTGACTCTTGATCATATGGTACTTCTTGAAATATTTCAGTGTCAGCCAATTATTTTTGGTATTTCCTTCCATCTTCTTTTCATGCTTCCTGGATCACTCAAGATTTAGCCCATAATATCTCTAAGTATTGCAATTTGAGGCTTGAGTTTATTTCTCACTTCCTTCAGCTTGAGAAATGCTAAGTAAGTTTTTCCTTCTTAATTTCAAATTCCAGCTGTCTTCACATTCTGTTATAATACTTTTTCTTTTCAAGCTGCCCTTTTTAATCTTCTGTTCTGCTCTTTTACTTCAGCATCTCTTCCCTTTGTTTTGGTGTCTTAATGCTTGTGGTGTTAGCCTAAAAGTTGGCTTTTTCATAGTGATTACAATTACCTGCCTTTGGTCTCCAGCTACCTTAACTACAGACCCAAGTCTTACAAATCAGCATGGTCTTGAAAATCATCAACTGCTGTGGGACTAGGATAAGAGAAAAAGTGCTTCCAGCATGATGCAGTAAGACTGGAGGTGAGTAAAGCTTGTGGTGGTAAAACTCTGGTGAGAGAAAGATCCTGGTTATAGAGATAGTGTGACACTGCTGTGGAGAAATGGTGGCTAGATGTAATCTGAGGCTTCTTGCATTTGTGATGGTCATAGATAACAATTTGACTTTTCTTGCCACATGTTTGAAGGAGACGCTGACTTATAACTACTCTGAGGCAAACATTGCTAGATGATTTGGATTTGACTGCTGAACTGAAACGAACCTGGATTTACTGAGAAATTGTATCTTGGATTATTGAGCTAAAGCCTGGACTTGTGAGATATTCTTAGCCTTCTTTATTCATTTCACTAGTAAACTCCACTGTTGGTCTCATAACTGTGGGTCTGTGAGTTAAAAATGAATAAACAAATCCCTTGCTCTTGGTGTGGCTGTAGAGGCACCATGCGGCTGTGCTACAGGTTTTTTATCTGCTTTCATGCTCTAGGGTGCTGAGGGGCTATGCTATTCTTACTCCCTCCGGCTCTTTCAGAGAGATATTCCTGGTCCTGTGCACTCATGTCCAGTTTTCTCCTTTTTAGACAATGCTCTCGTGGAATTTTCAGAGTCTCTTCTGACATCCATTTTGGAGTTTTTTCTTTCTCTTTTTTGTAATGTCCTTTTGCTCTCTTCATAGATAAAATGCTTAATGTAACCCCACAACTAATCTGATCTTTGATCATTTGTATTCAGTGCTTCAAACTTATTAAGATGATGTTCAAATTCATATGAGATAGACTCAATATCATATTTTTGCTCTTGTGGATTTGCTATTTTATTCTACTTCAATTTGAATTTGTACATGAGTAATTGATTATTCCACAGTCACCACCTGGCCTTATTTGACTGCACATTTTGAGCTTCTCCAGTGATTTTTTTCACAAAGGTAGTCAATCTTAATCTAAAGCAATCCATCAAGTGTGGTAAATGTGTAAAGTTGCTGTTTGTTTTTTGTGGTTTTTTTGTTTTGTTTGTTTGTTTGTTTTTGAAAAAAGATATTTGTGACTAGCAACTACTGAAACCTGGTATACTTTGGGAACTTGTTGCATTCCTATGCCTTTGTCTGCTCAGATAGCAATAGCTCCCTTCCTACCAGCAAGGTTCCTGTTGGGGTAGATAGGTCAGCCATTAGCACCTACTGAGGCTTGAGGTCTGTACAGTTGGGACCTTGCCACTTTCCTCAGCTTTTTTACTGAACAATAAATCCTGGGCAGCACTCCTGGGAATTTGCCTACCACTAGAGGAAGCCATTCCCCACCATTAAACTACAGAACAGGACAGATAAGCAGGGCCACCACAGCTGATCAAAGGGACAGACACCAGCTTCCTACTCCTCAGAGGACAACTGGATGAGAAGTTTGCCATAGGAAACAGAAAATACAGCCACACTTAGATGACTATCAGGGAAGACTGCAACTGGGAAACTGAATGAGGCTAGCACTTAAACTCAGCAACTTATAAAGACAATCATAAATGTAAGGAACTGGCAATGATCTATGGAAACAATAGAAACTGTCTCATACATACTAAGAAGAATATCACACATAATGTCAGAGAAGCAGCAGATAGCATTAAACATTATGAAAAAACAAAACTAACCCTCTCCAACCAGAAAAGTAGAACAGATTGCAGACCCAGTGAATAACCCAGATACGGGAAAGCAGAATAAATATATTGATGTGGAGTTACACAAATAGCTATGGAAGAAGTCATAAATAATAGAAGAAATAATTGAAAACATCAGTAAAGATGTATAAACATTTTTAAAAAATCAACAAAAGACAGAGAGGGTACAACTTACATGGTGCTAGAAATAATACAAATGATAAAAATGCAACCCAGACTATCAAGCCTGAAAAGGCAGTTTTTTCTACATGATAAAGGGGGGGTTGGGGGGAGAACCAAAACAAAAAACAGAAGAGAGGAGATGGAACAGAGTGAAATCAAGAAGAATATTA